CCAAGTATTGAGTGCAGAACTGAACATGATTATTTGAAGGTTGGCGTGTTTTGTATTAAAAACACTTGTCTTTCATTGGTGGGATGAAATATGCTAATTTTTTGGAACAGGCATTTTGGGTTTTCATGAGCTATATGCCATAATCATCAGTATTAAAACAATTAAAGACCTGAAATATTTCAGTTGGTGTGAAATGAATCTGAAATATATGAAAGTTTCATTTTTATCATTACATTATGGAAAATAATGACCTTTATCACAATATGCTCATTTTTTGAGAAGGACCTGTATATCGACACAAACATAAAAATTCAAGACCATGTACAGACTAGGGGTTGAACGAATATATAATTTTTAAACTCGACATTAACATAATAAAACCCGAGTAGAACTCGAGTATTTGATGACGTCATAGATCTCAAGATACAAAAATAAATGAAATAATAATAAAATAAAATCTTCATGTTTGTGCTGATGTTCAATGTTTTATGTTATGAGTGCTTAGTGTATATTTAGTTGATGTTTTTCTTAGTTCATATCTTAGATGTTATTACCGTTTTTCTTATACATTTTATTGTTGAATGTAACTGGGACCATGTGTACATAATTTCGCTCCACCACATGTACCACATGAGGTGCGAATGACAATAAAGAGTACCCTGTTAATGCCCTAGTACAGACGCTGTTCCAAGAGTCATTATCCTCAGAGAAACGAGTTCTGGTCCAACAAGAGCTGAAGGGCGACTCCAAGAGGAAGCAGCAAATACTCCCAAGACAACAAAGGTTTTTAGACTCGTCCTGGGCTCTGATGAAACTAAAAGCCAAGTGTTTGGTCATAACCACCGTTACATTTGGAGGAAAAAGGGTGGAAGGCTGAAAACACCATCCTAGTTGTGAAGTATGGAGATGGCAGCATCACGTTGAGGTTTTGCTGCAGAGGAACTGGTGTACAGTAGACCCTCTACTTCGCAGTTCCACTTTCGCAGACGCGCTCTTTCGCAGTTTTTTAAAGTAAGATTGGACATGACACACAACTGGCTGATTGATGGATGAGCCGCACGATCGGTATAGATATTTTATTTTAAATAAATTATTTAAAATTATTTAGCACCTGCTGCACATTTGTGCAGCCCACATGTGCAGCGAGAAGCTCCCTCCCGCAGCGTGTTGATCTCCACTCTGCAGCGGATAAATGGGCGTGGCCAAGAGCGCTGGCAGGTGAAGGTCATGACGTGCTGTGCTCTTTTTCATTTACTCTTTATTTATCCAGGTAGTCTCGTTGAGCCATGAGAACTCATTTTCAAGAGAGACCTGTTTAGGAGCAGATGGTGGGGGTTAAGGGCCTTGCTCAGGGGCTCAGTGGGGCCAATGAGGGTGGAGGCAGGTGTGGGTGTTTCACCTTTTCCACTCACATTTTGATGTTGACGGTACCAGGAACATCAAAATGTGGGTGGGTTTAGAGCGTTCATAAACATTTTTTACAATTTTGCAAGAGAAGGGTTTAAAACGTTGTGCGCGCGTGCGTATATATGTAGATGAACAGATGCTTAGATATATTCATCAATTAAAACGGATTCTTCATTTTTCTGGACTGAATAAAACGTGCATTGAATTTAATAAAATGTACCGTGAGACGTTAATTCATCTTTGACCCATCAAAATGAATGTGGTCATTTATTTACAGAATCAAAGTTTAACATCAAACGTTTACATTAATTTGGCAAAATATGAAAATAACAACATAATTAATCAGCTTTACAGGTAGTGAGAAACAATACGGCGATTGTTTTCACTTTTCAGCAGAACAGCAGACCTCAATCCACACGGCAGTGGAATGAGCACTTTACACAGACATTTCTAAATTATCTGGAATGATTTCTACTTGATAGAAGAATTTAAAGATGGAAATGAAGTTTAAAGGGCGTGAAAGATGGATGAGGGAGAATGTGGTGTGTATGAGTGAAAAGTGTTGACAGGACGACACCCTCCATCCGACCCAGCTTTTCCTCGGTACGCTCAGTAGGAGACTAGACTCATTTACCTCTCTGACGATGAATCAGAAGAGGAGCTCCAGTTAACGCTACCTTTCAGCGTCTCCATAGGATGGCTGTGACTCGTCCGAAGTGGTGACGGGGCTTTGTCAACAACAGTTCACCTCACCGGGTGGACTCCACATGAGTGGGGTTCTTCAGAAGTTCCACTCAGAGGTGGAAGATGTTATAATCCAAACTCGGAAGAGCCTTATCATGGCTGGACTCCTATTCTCCCAAACGACTGGAGCTGCAAACTCTCCAGCCCGACTCCAACGGCAACTCACAGAACAACGACTTCACAGAACTGCCACTTCACCGAACTGAGAGAACTAGGAAGTACCGGCATTTAAAGGGCTCTATTTCCGGTATATTTGAGAGTTCCTGATTGGTCAATATCAACCAGACAGGGGTGTGTTTTGTGACGTAAGAGGTTACTAGAAGTCAGAAAACAGCAAGAATGTTATGGAACAGATTGAAAATGTTCCCAGACAGGCGAGAGAAATGTTTTGGCGAGTTTGGAGAAACAGGTGCCAACTCCTCTGTTTACGTCTGAGAGGATGTAAAACAAGACAGTTGTTCCAACACTTGTCTGCTTCGACTCCTGACCTTGGAAAACGTACACTGCTCATTCAAAGACAGAAATCAGAAAATGCATAATTACTCTGTAACAGGCCTTAACATGAATTCTACTTTGCATAAGTAACTAAAAAATCATTGTTACTGTTTTACAGTTAATAAAATTGATTAGTTCACTGTAACATCTAAAATGTTTGAACTAAAACACTTTGATTATCAAACATTTGTAAAACAGTAATGATAATAGAAAAGAGAGTGTTCTTTCACTTGAATTTTCAAGACAGAAAGTCTCAGGATGGATGAACCTGTATTTCTGGATTCAAATCAATGAAATGACAGTTTCTGTCCCACAAGGTTCTTAAGGTCAAGGGTTTTGACCTTAGGCTTAGTTTTGACATCAGGTCAAGTTCACTACATATATATACGCACACACACACACACTAAAATAAACTAGTACTAACTGCTTGCACTACTATTCCTTCTTTGCAGTTTTTCCACTTATTGCGGGGGAGCTGAGAACTGAAACCGCCCCCATTATACAAGGGACTACTGTAAAGAGGGGTGTCTAAAGCAGTGTTTCTGAAAGTGGGGGCCGTGGCCCCCTGGGGGGCTGCCAGAAAGCTGGAGAGAAGAAAATAAAAAAATAGTTATAATAAAAATTGCGCACTAGGGCAATCTGTATCGGTCATTTCCAGATAAGCACTCGAGAGAAGTTAGATTTGTTTTGTTCTTGTGGTCAACAGTTTGTTGAGAAGTTGTTTTTCAGTGGGAATATAAAACGGTGTTTAAAACATGTTAGTTAACATTTTCATGCTCAGCAGCCGTAATAACTGAATAGAGTGAATTAAAGTTAACATTCTTAAAGTTGATGTTTCTTTACATATTTTGGCTTCGGTCCATTCGGACCAGAACCTCCCGCCATAAGAACAGTTTCTTCCCCTCTGCTGTTGGACTCCTGAACACTCATAATGCTACCTCATAACTTCTGCTTTGGTCACATTACATCTGTATTATAACTGAATACTCCCTCTGTACTGTTCTCTAAGCTTTTATTGTTTTCTATTGTATGGGTGTACATATGTTTATGTTATGTTTTCATTTTTACTTTATTACTATTCGCACCTTATGTCGAAGCAAATTCCTAGTTTGTGAACCTGGTTCATTGACGTGGCGATAATAAACAGACTCTGATTCTAAAGAACAGTGTTTTGGAGAGGCCGTCACAAAGCCCTGATCTCAAGCTCATTAAAAACAAAACTAAACTGTGTGCGAGCAGAAAACGTGTTGGAGCAAGGCGGTCTACGAACCAGACCCAGTTCCACCAGTTCTGTCAAAAGGAACGGGACTTAAGTCCAACAAACTGGTGGGACAAAAACATTTGAACTCATGCAGTTTAAAGGCAACACTACCAAATTATACTAATGGATAAAAACGTGCCGTTTTTGTAGTAAAAAATAAATAATTCTCATTTGGGCAAAAAATAATTTTGTGAATCTTAACTGACCTCAAAACAGTAAAGTTTGATTTAGTTCCAGAGAAGGAGAATATATTACACGTCTGGTTTCAACTGTAGAGCAAGTCAAAGAAAATGAAAAGGCCCACCTCCCCAGCTACTGCAGCTGCTTCATGACGGGACTTCATTAATGCAAAGCTCTTTTCTTTGTTCGGTAATCAACTTGTGTCGACCGATTGTAGAAATAAAGACCATTCAAGAAGTTTAGAGGCATTTATTTACCAGTACCAGTCAGAAACTTCACACAAACACTAATAGCCACTGCAGAGAAAGAACGAAAAAGTCATTTTCCAAAACGTAACAAGTTTTTTGTTCGTAGCTATGAAACAAAAGGTGCAGTGTTTGACTACGTACCTTTACAAAAAAAAGCATAAGAAATAGCTAAAATGTATTAAAAAATTAAAAATGTTTTACAATGTTGGATGTGTCAGTGTGTCACCTTTTCTTAAAGATAATTTTGTTCCGTCACTGAACATGTGGGTTTGGAGCAGGGGAATGTGGACAAACGATCCCTTTTCCCTTGAAATACACATCTGCCCAGGTGTTTCTGTTCAAGTATGTGGACAGGTGGACAAATCAGAGAAAAAGTAGATTTCAAATAATTAAAAAAAAAAACGTTCCCATTGGTACCAAAGGTGCCTTAGTAATTTACTTGCAGTTTCCACTAACCTTTAAACATTTTACACCAAAGGTGCACCTCACTGGACTGCACAGCTGGAGGGAGGCTCCACATCCAGGAGGGAGGCTCCACATCCAGGAGGGAGGCTCCACATCCAGGAGGGAGGCTCCACATCCAGGAGGGAGGCTCCACATCCAGGAGGGAGGCTCCACAATTCTTCCGTCCCGTTAGAGTCGCAGGAGCTCAGTCAGATGCTCGAGTTTAAATTTGTGCAATAGATTTGCTCTCAAAATGTATTGGGACACCCTGAACCCATGTACATACTGTAGATGGATGATAACCGTGAGGTGGCTGCGGTGCAGAGCCCAGGTGGTCCTATGTGGACAACGAAACAATGTGCATGGCCAAGAACGCAGTTTCATTTGGAAAATCTAATGTTCTTACAGCTCTGAGTTGCAGTCCAGTGAGATGCCACCTTCATTGGTTTGAAAACTACCATTTGGTCATATTTAATCACAAAAAGCTCTCACACAACTGGAACAAAACCTTGACATTTCCACTTCAGCCACTATGTCAAATAGAGTTCTCAAATGTCGCCTGTTTAACGAGTATGAAGACATGGTCCTGTCACCAGTTCGGTTTCCTCCAATCTGGACCGTCTTCCCAACAGGCATCTCATCCGTTTGAACGTTGCTGCTCTGATACGACCCTGCTCAGAGTGCACGGATACTGCAGTGGCTCTGCTGACACTCATCCACTCTAAAATTAACTATTCTAATTCAGTAAAATATCTTATAGATACGATTGTCATTAAAAAGTGAGTTGGGTCTAATTCAGAAATGTATAAAACCTCATTGCGTCTCCAACATTCAACATGAATGATTTCGTCACAATGCAGGGAGCTGTTAAATCCTGGCATGTCTGCAGCATCTTTGCTGGTACAATCCAGGAGGATCTGCTCTGTCTGGACCATTGAGGAACTAAATGACCTGCGTTTACCACCAAAAATGAAATGTATAGACATCACATCTGTGCACTATGATACCTTCATTAGTGTCATTTCCCACCTTTTTGTTCTTCTTCAGAGAGGCTCATTGTGTAGAAAAGATTAAAAACATTTGATGCTAGTTTTATGTTCTCCAGCATGAATGGGCTTTACACAAGCTGTTGATGTTCTTCACACTCAAAGCAAAAGATTCATGTCACTACAACAACATGAACACAGGTGTTTAGTTTAGCTCGCCTACAGCCCTTGATGGGAAGAGTTTACTATCTGAGGGTACAGAAAAAACAACACGTTGTTCAAATGTGTGCGGGTGATTTGTAAAGTGTGTGAGGTTCAGAGCAGCAGCACAAGACCCTGAGAGAAAGTCCTGGTTAGTTGAGGATCGTTAGCTTACGGTCAGTCTGTTGTGTGGTGTTCCCATGAGCAGTGCCCGGGCTCCTGCAGTACATGAACTGGCTAAAGGCACGGAACAACAGAAAACCAGGAGGTCTAACTGTGACAAGAAGCTAACATGAACTCCACACCTCTAATTGTGTGGCTAAAATGCTTTCTATGGCTTTATGGTTATGCAAAAGGGTGTGTGGTTGTAACTGCTGCTCACATGTTCACCCTCCATGTCCCTTTACACCGTGTCCTCATCCATCTTGGCAACGTCGTCCAGCGTAATGGCAGCAGACTCGTCATCTGCTGCTGCGTCGGATTTCTGTGGCGACGGAGCATCCAACATGGCAGTACGCTCCTCTTTGGGCTCCTCTCGTTCCTTCTTCTCCTCTTCCTTCTTTTCCTTGTCCAGCAGGTGATAGTTGATGCCCATACCCACGAAGAGGAAGACGCTGGCTATGATGAGGATCACACCGCAGGTGATGTAGGTGTAGTTATAGTGTTTGTAGTAGTCATAGAAACTGCCTGCAAGGGCACAAAGTAGAAGCAGCTCAGTTTTTTGTCTCAAATGTTTCGACATCTCAAATAGTTTTTGTTTAGTAAAGCGGAAACAGCCATTTCCAAAACTGAATCGACCACTTATTTTCCCCAGATTACAATCAAAAATCTAATCAAATCTTGCTTTAGTGATCAAAAAAGTCCATGCTCAATAATCCAGGTATACAATTCAACAATTTTCAGTCAGGTCATCTGGACAGTTTCTTTTTCTTTTTGCTGAAATGTTTCATCTTCCATCCAGAAGGCTTCATCAGTCAAGGAAACACACAACACAAAACCGATTCTTCCCCCAACAGCTTACTCCAAAGTGGAACAAACCAGTTATGTTGGTGCTGAGATGGTGTCTTTGGCACGCCCCCTCCTCTGGTGCCGACCCTCTTCCTCGTCGACAGTCATGTCCAACTGGTTCAAAACATGACATGACTAGATGAGGAAGAGGGTCGGCACCAGAGGAGGGGGCG